TCATACTTGATGTTCCCCGAATCACCTTCCCTTCTTTGTATAACAACTGCAGCCATTTTTAGTGGAGTCAGGCTTTGCATTTGCTGTCACCGTTTGCATTGGCCTGCGGGCGAGTGACAGTTTACCTGGGGGGATTTGATGCATTGGCATTAGTTGTTTTTCCTACTATTTAGACGACATCCTGCACTTGATGGACCCTATGTCTATCTATTCCTTGTCGCCTTGCAGTCAAAGCCTGAGAATCCTCCGTGGGGCGGGATGCCCTCGAGGATGGCCCGAGCACTGTGCTGTTGCCCTTGCACGCTAGTCCTATAGTGGACCACAGCTCAACCAGCATTTGGTCCTCCAGAAGGCTTGCCAGCGGTCACCAGACACAACAGACAAAAGCTGTCTCTTTTTTCCAGAATATAGCCGTTGCCTCTGTTGGTTAAAAAATAAAGCTCTGAAAGTGCAGAGGCTCATTAATGTCTCTTTAACATCAAAGGGAAACATACTTAACTTAATTCAACGGACCCCGGGAAGCGCGCGGTTTGAAAAGGGCAAGGCACTCCGGGGGCATTTCAGAGCAGAAGTCGTATCCCTTTTAATCTAACGAAGCTTGTCTGTGAACTAAGACATCTCAGAGAATGACATGGTTATGTTCAGATGGTCGCCAGGGACAAGCAGCAGACAGTCTTCTACACTCCGCACGCTCCAGGTCCCAAGAGGCTTGGACAGCCTCCGTGGAAGCCATGGGTGTGTAACCAGAAGACGTGCAAACACCAGAAGTTTGTGCCCCCTGTGGGATGAGAAGTGATTATTTGGATAATTTCTGGGGCAGCATGGGTAGTAGAAAGTATAGCTCAATAAATACCCAGAGAGCAGCAAGGAGTTTTTAGAGAGAAGATAAATTCACAGCCTGCTGATACTGACCAAGAGAAAGGACAAGAAGGAAAGGCAAGAAAGGAAAAGTGGAGAAAGGAAGATGACAGTTGAGAAAAGAAGTAGATTATGGTGTGAGGCAGATGGGAGGGGAAGAGTGAAGAGGAGAGTCACCACGGCTGTGACAACCCTCTTTGGGGCTAAGGAAGAAACACTGGACCAGCCTGGCACCAGCCATTTGGTGGGATCAATGTTTGTTTAGCTCACTCGGCAACGAACTCCAACTCTTGTGCTGATTAACCGCTTGTGTGTGTGTGTGTGTGTGTGTGTGTGTGTGTGTGTGTGTGTGTGACGCTGGCGAAGTTAGTGTACGTGTGTTTTGAACCGCGGGTAGAATCCAGGCGGTTACACAGCGGCAGTGCTAGAAGGCAGAGCAAGGTACCAGCGGGAGTTTAAAACTTAACTTCATGGATTTTAGAGAAAGCCTTTTTATTGGGTTAAAATAAATGTTTTCTTTCGAAACATATTAATATTTAACTGTCAAGTTGAAAAGCCCCAAATTAAGTCATACTTTAACTTACTATTTTTCAAAAAGCCTGGAAGAGCAATTATGTTGTGTGTGTGTGTGTGTGTGCTGGATATTTCCCGTTTGAAAGTCTGTGAAGAGGTCACACTGCACAGCTCCTAGCTCATAGTCATCTTGCAAAACACAAACACAGAAACAAAAAACAAAACATTTTTTTAGGGATAGAGATACAGACTTTCAGAGTTGAGAATATGCTTTTTAATTATATATTTAGCACTATATTTTCTCCAGCTACCCGAATATTTTATTTCTCCCTATCTATATCAGTTCAAGGTGGTAATATCTAACAGATACTGGTGTGTCCAGTGTTTTAGGGAAGACATTCCTTCGGAGTATGCTAAGTTGGCCATTTCATTTCTCCAAGTATCAGCGTTTGGAAAAGAATAAAAATCTTAAATGTGGCTCTGCCCTTCTACCCCGGTGCCCAGAGAAAGGGGAAGTAAACACCAGGATACAGTTCTCTCAGAAATAATAAAACCTCTTAGCTAATAAAAATCGTGCTTAGGCTGCTAAATGCGATATTCTTTTGGTGTTCTCACAATGCTTAGCTTGCACGCAGACCAAAAAGTTCTGTTTGCTGTCATTTGTAAATGACGAGCCAGCATATTTTGCAGCTTCTGCCTAATTCCGACGACTTACCATATTTGTTTTATAACTTGGATTTAGGGAAACTAAACACACACACCTTTACTTAACAAATAGGGAAGACGTAATCATGTGAAGATAGAAAAATGAGTCAGTGGGCATTTGGTTTTAAGCAGTATTGAGGAATTAAAATCTTGATATGAAATACTCCACGAAATATTTTCAAAAATATTTTCCCGTATTTGCCTTACACATAAGAATGAAAGTCTGTTTCAGTATAGTGACTTACATATATAATTCAAGATGTTCGAGGACGGGTCGAGAAGAGGGAAATTCGGACACGTTTCCCTCTGTGCGCTACAACCATGGTGAATTGCCCGCCAGGCAGTTTTGCTATGCTTCGGAATATCTTTTTCCTTATGTTTTTCTGTGTGGGATGCTAAAAAGGTCATTAGCAGCAAGGATTGAATTAATTATGCATCATAAGCACAAAATGCCATAGCTTGCCGTTCTCTAAAATCGCACCACTTTGCTCATGCTGAAATATTAACCAGTTCGCTCTGCCGCATGTGGGACTGCACAGTCCTCGGGTCTCCGAAGACAGACAGCAGTTTGTGTCTCAATGTTTAAGGCACATTTGGGCGTGTGAGTGCACAGACACACACGGGCGTACACACAAAGTCTAGAACATTCTTTAAAATGTTTCTGGGAACACTGTGCAAGAAGAAAGTAGCCACATTTCTTTCTGGGTTGGTGGAGGGGCTCTCCATCTAGGCTGGCCCTGAGGAGCACCCCCTGCCCAGCTGGTCTGCACTCCTCCTTCACCGCCCGCCCGCCCTCTCCCCTGCTGAAATTTCAGGTTTGCTTCTCACAGCACCAATTTTTACCTCAACTCTTTCCCCTATTGTTTGTGAGTTTCACAGGTTTTTTTTTTTAATTTTATGAATGATTTGAAATGGAAATCGCCTATCCTGTTTTCTGAATAATTTAATTAGCATGTTTAAACTTTGACCGAATTATAATCTGAGCACCTACAAACTCCCTTGCCAATATAATCTTTTAAAGTGAGGGCAGGTGCCTGCCTTATCCCACAAAATTATTCAGTCTGTTATTGGATGACAGATTCCATGTGTGATTTGGTATTTTTCTGTATTTTGTATGATGTCTATCAGTATAAGACATATGTATTCTTTTAGTCTGTGTGAAAACATACGTGCACATTCCACACGCATGTGCATAGATACTGCGGTGAGAAAGTCCCTAACGGAATCCGTGTTTGGTGCCACGCCAGGGTCTTGGTGCAGCGGGAACGTGTGCACCGGCCCCTCTTTGAGTCCCATTGGGAAAGGCGACTTTCTCCGCTTGAAGCGCAGCTGGGTGGGGGAGTGGGACGACAATGAGGTTTTGTATTTAGCTGAATGGAATGACCTTTAAAGTTGAGTTTTATGGCTCTTTATAATTGTCCTCAAAGGAAAGCGGGGAGAGGCCGCCCTCCCCACCGCAGCCCGGCAGTGTGGTGCCCCGCGTGTGCAGTGCGCCCCGCAGCTGGTGCGGTGCTGCTTTTACTTGGGTTTATAGTTGCCCTAAAGGACAAGTGTGTGTAGACGACTGTCACGATGACTTATGTTTCTTCGTAGTAGGGGGAAACCACTCTGCAATAAGCAAAAGGTGAGCAGCGCGGTATAGATTTTAATTAACACCGAAAACTGCCCACTGGGCCGAGAGCGCGGGCAGGGAGGAGAGCGGAAGGGACTGGACGGGGCTTGTCCTCACCCAGGAGACCTCGCCAGCACCCACCTCTCCCTCCAGCTGAGGGGCAGAGGGAGCCGGCGGTTTGGGGACCGGGCGGGCCTCTGCTTTCTGGACTTGGGGCAGTGGTGAGCCCGCCGTTTGCTCGGCCCAGGACTGGATGGATCCGCCTGCCCGGCCAGGAAGGGCTGGGGAGAGGCGGGAAGGGGCTGCGCAGGGGGCCAGAAGGGAGAGGCGGAGAATGAGCGCCCAGCCCTCCGGGGAGAGACCAGGTCCGAGGACGCACGCAGGCCAGCAGGGAGGACAGACGGCGGAGCCGGCTCGCACGCACAGCCGCGGCCTCCGCACAGCGGCGCTGGAGCACGCCTTACTGCAGCAGAGCCGGTCTCGCCACCACCAGTCTCGCCACCACCAGTGGCGCTGGGCCGCGTCGCCCCCGCGTCCTCCAGGCTAGGGGTCGGGGGAGGCGGCCCAGCTCCGGAAAGTTGGTGGCTTCAGCCGGGCTGTATTTAATGGACAGGGGCACGGAGCCGCGATGCGCACGAGCCGGGTGGGAGGCGCGGGGAGGCTCCAAGGCCGGCCCCGCCCGCCTCCGATGGCCTTGCCCTTCCCTCAGGGGGAGCGGTGTGGGGACCAGCGTGCTCGTGGCAGGAGAGAGGGCTCACCTGCGACTGGCGTCCCCTAGGCCCTGCCCTCCAAGCCCTTCTTAGTGCTCGGCTCACCCCCCATGTGCACCCCCAGGCCCTCAGGGGTGTTTGCTGTCGTTTCAAGTTAGACAAGAAAAGCTGATAGAAAAACCTGAGGGGGAGACCCTCGGAGGGGCGCCCCGGGGCTCGCGCGCCCTCTGCCCTGGGTCAGCCACCCTGTCCCGTTAAGGTCTCCCCGCACTGTGGGATGCAACCTTCGGCGGGGCTGGGAGCGCCAGTGGCTCCCCCAGCGCGCCCCCACCCCTTGCCCCCGCATGTAGCACCTGCGTGGCCCCCAGCCTCCGCCCCCATACCCACGACCCCCTTTTTGCGGGCCCTCCAGAACACTCCCCTTGGCCCCTGCGCTCCTGCACCCTCCGGGCCGCCAGCCGGGCCAGCCGGGCGCCAGCACCCGCGAGAGGAGAGGGCTGGGGGCGGGGCGGGAGCCGCGGGCCGGGCGGGGGAGCCGAGATGCGCTCTGCATGTTCGCTGGGCTCTAGGTGGTGCCAAATTCCGGGGCCTAGGCATTTCCCTCCCTTTACGTTTTTGGGTTTTTTCCTTGCTTCGGTCTCTGATTAGGCCGTACGTGGCCGTGGCAAGGAGTTACAAAATAAATAAATACATAAAGCAAAACCGAAAAGAGAGAAAACACACCCAGACCCTTGGCTTCTCCGAGCCGCCGGGGGAGGGGGCGGAGGAGCCGAGCGAGGCAGAGTCGCCCAGCGGCGACTCGAGAGTGGCGCGCGGGAGGAGCGGCCGCCGCCTGGCTCGCCTTTCCGCTGTTGCTTCTTCCCACCGCCTTTTGTTTTCTTTTTTGTTTCTGGTTTTATTTCCCGGAGGGGGCGGGGGGGGGCAGGAACCCGAGAGACAGAAGGAGAGAGAGGGGAGAGGACAAAATATTAAAAAGCCCAAAGACACCGCAAGAGCCCGCGCGGTGCCCGATGGCTTCGCTGTACCAGAGGTTCACCGGCAAGATCAACACCTCGCGGTCCTTCCCGGCGCCCCCCGAGGCCAGCCGCCTCCTGGGTGGCCAGGGGCCCGAGGAGGACGGCGGCGCCGGGGCGAAGCCCCTCGGCCCGCAGGCGCAGGCGGCGGCGCCCCGGGAGCGCGGCGGCGGCGGCGGCGGCGGCGGCGCGGGTGGCCGGCCCCGGTTCCAGTACCAGGCGCGGAGCGACTGTGACGAGGAGGACGTAAGAGCATCTTGGTGGGTGGGGGGCGGCGCAGGGGCTTGGGGCGAGCGCGCGGGTGAGACGCGGGGCTCTGGGGACCCTGGCGGTCTGCGGTCGCCCGCCCCCTCCCCCACCGCCCCCGAGCGCCCGCAGACGCTCCGTGGCGGCTCCGGATCTCGGTCACGGCCGGACTTGTCCCTGCAGCCGGCAGCGGCGGCGGCCCGAGTTGGTGGCTGGGGCGAGCGGGGTGTCGGCGCTGCGCCTGCTGTGATCCGGATCTGCCGGGGTTCGCGGGTGTCTGCTTTTCAGCGCATGCTGCCATGGATCCTAGCGAGAGAATTTGCTCTGTCTGTGTTTACGAGTTGAATCTGCCTGATTGCCCCCCGCCCCCCAACTGCTTTAAGACTCAGGGAAGATAAAGTCTGAGGCTGTGTCTGCCCGTCCACCTGTGCCTGGAGTCTGTCCACTGTGCCTCCCCTCGCCTCCCCCACTCTGTCCCTGGACTCAAATGCTTCTGCCTCCTCTTCTCACCGCTCCCAGACACCTCTCCTCCCCCAGCGGCGGTGGTGGTGACTTATCTTTTAAGAAAAAATACCAAAGTAAAAGCATCGGAGCCCAGCCCCAGCCTCCTGTCCCAGGGCCCAGCACAGTCTCGCTGAGCCTGGCCTTGGACTAGCGGCTCTGCCTTAGTCTGTGCAAGGGGGAAACTTCTCGGAGAGCACGTTCTCTTTGGGCTGGTAGCCTGGGTTCCAAAGGCGGGATCTGCATGTCGCCCTGGTGGCCCGTGACTGATGCAAGGCATCTGCAGGGCTCCTTGGACGGATGGGTTTAACCTCCTCTCCTGCGTCCCTTGCCGATGTGGAGGAGGGCGGGACTGTCAAGAGAGGGAACTGCCCTGTGTCTTTGAGACCTTCTCAGACAAGCTGTTAGGCAGGCGGGTCTGCACAGCATGTAGACACAGGCAGGAGTGCTGGGTGGTGGAAACCTCTGTGTGGACCTTTCGGCGGTTTCCCACCCGCATTTTTTAAAGCAGAGTTGTGGATTCCCGCACAAGCCTCTCAGATGGTCCACCAGGACATCCCCAGGGCTGTGCCTGTCTCTGCAGAGCGGAACAGGGGGTCCTGGTCACTAAACGCGTACTGCCTTGGGTCCTACCGTTTCACTGTTGGATGTTCCTTGGCTTTAATGCAAGCGTGGTGTGTGGAGGGATGGAGTTCGAGTGCTTTTGCAGGGACAGTCCTTACCTGCCAGAAATTGCAGAATCAGCGTGAGTTTTGTTGTCGTTGCTGGCAGTTTTCGTTTTGTGCTATGAATGGAGGATTTGGAGACTTTCATGGAGACGACAGAAGTTAGTGGGAGATGTGGTTTGCACGTACGCAGGCACACAAACACACACCCCTACAACCCGCCACAGATCTCGCATGAGGTTTTCTTATTTCCTCTTGCTGCACCAGTTCCAGGCGCCCCTGGTTAAACAGAAACCAAAGAGAGGTCCCTGGCTTTGGTGGGCCAAGTCCCGAGGGAAGTGAACAGATTGTTCGGTGCTGGGGTTCAAGACACTTGGGGTCTTTGGGAGGGTGATGAATTCCGGAGGATTAAACTACTGAGTCCTGGGGAAGACAATTAAGCCACAATGCAGACAGGAAAGATGTACTTTTTGCCTCAAATCTGACTTAAAGCTGTTGACTTGCGGATGTTTGGGGTGAGAGCAATGTGCACCTTCTTCCCCATGGGCTCTAGGTGGCGCTAGGAGAAAAGAAAGGCAAGAGCTTCGTAATTGTTTTTCAGATCCTCTTTGCCTGTTTTTTTTTTTTAATCTTGGAGTGTATATTTCCTTCTTTTCATTTCGACATAAGTCTAGAACTGTTTCTCAGATAAACATAAGTGTTATACTGAGGAACAAACCAGGGATATAACATGAGTAAATTATTTCTTTTGATAGGGCTCTGAACTATGTCTCTAATTTATATTTAAGTCGTGACATCAATTTTTGTCCTGGAAAACACAAAATATGTGTGTTTAGTGTGTTTTTATGTAGTAGACATACATTATATAAGTATATTTTTTCCCATTATCTGTACGTATATTAATATATCTGGCCATGATCAGTATATATCTGGAAAAATGCATGGCACATATTTTCTTTAAGTTCAAAATATATGATTAACACACTGACTGCAATGTGAGTTATATTTGACTCAGGCTGGTTTTGAGCCCAGGGCCTTGTAAAGCAAAACCTTGCAGTTGGTTCATGAGAATCTTACTTGTTGATGTTTTTATTGTTACAATTAATATTAACAATTTAATTCTAAAAATTTGAATTGTGTTGCATATAACTCATGCACAGAAAACAATAAAAACTAACGATTAGTAAGGATCGTTTTGTTTTAATAAAACACTGTGGCCCCAGGGAGAAAAAGTTTTTTGTTTTTTTTTTTTCTAGTGTGGCAGTCAATTTGTTAAACCAGTGACAGGCAGCTAAATGTAGCATCAATTAAAAACAAACAAACAAACAAACAAACACAAAAACCATTTATGCACTGTTCTCAGAAAAGTTATTCAAAATTATAATAGAAAAGTTATGTCTGAAAATTCACCAAAAGATAGATGTGCACATCAGACAAACCACTTTTCCTCTAGAAACAAAAGCTTTGGTTTGCCTAAGAGATACTAGTTAAAGAAAGACATTAGATACAAAAACTGCTTTTTAGATGCCAGCTCTTGTCAAGACTGAAGAATCTTGAATAATCATTTTGCTATACAAATTTAAAGCTGAAGACATGCAACTAATTAGGAACGCATTGCATATTATTAGATGTATCCTGCAGTTGCCAAGGAACTTCAGGGCAAAGGGAGGGCTGTCATTTTCAACATCTACTTAAGCAGATTGGGAGCTCTGGGCTGAGGTGGGAGCTGTCTAAGGTGCTGAAGTGTCATCTTTGCTTTAGCACACCGAAAAGTGCCACTTTTGTCTGAGCAATCGTCACACTCCTACGGCTAGTGGCTTTATTGCTATCGTATGACTTGTCAGTCAGGGAAAACTTTTCCGAGACACAGAAACGTCTTCCCCACCTTGGTCACTGAGATGCCGGTCGGCTGTGTGCCTTTAAAATCCTTAGGTCTTTACCTCTTGTCCTTCCGTCTAGAAACGGAGAGAGAAAAGACCGTTCTCGGCCTCTGTGCGCGTACGTGCACACACATGCCTGAATATGGCTGAGAATGGGCAATTCTCTCCCCTCGCCCCCTCCCTCAATAAAATTTAAGCCAGTCTAAGAAGGCTAACACAGATAGGATCTGACAAAGTCTACGCAGAAAAATCAAACGTGGACACTGAATGGCTGGTGAGTAACAAACAGTGCGTGGCCTAAATGCACAAATGACGTTTGTGGCAAAGGGACTTGCCACCTGTGTAGCTCCCCAGAAGAGCCTCTTTGGGGTGGGTCAGTTCAAAGATGCAAAGTCTGGCTTAGAAGAAAGCCAGAATGTCTTTTCTGTCTGTTTCCCCATCAGTCTCAGATTTATTTAAATATGAAGTCAATTACTTGGGCAACTCCTCTGAGGAATCAATAGCCATTTTGATTTAAAATTCACTGTGTAGGTTTAAAAACGCATTGGCTCTTAAAGGAATTGCTGCTGGAAGTGACTTTCGATAGAATTCAGTAACTTTCAATCGGAATTAACTGTGACTAATTTTAAAACACTGAACTTTGCCATGCCCCTCCTCGAACGTTTCTTTTCAATTTCTTAAAGGGCTTCGGAGGCCTTCTGTATGGTCAGAGCGGTGGTTTTCTTGGGGTCACACAGCCTGTCCCTGGTTTCTTCGTTTTCAGTGACACTGGACAGTGCAAATGTGATGACGACAGGATTTTAAAACAACAAATTGGTAAAAACAGGGGTTGAATGACAAATCACTGCCCACAAACTCTCCAGCCCGGCAGACCCCGTCTCGTCATGCTTTGTGTTTCCAGTGACCGGGCTTTCTTCTCTCCCTCCACCTGCAGTTTTCCCTGGTATAATCCCAATGTCCCCTTAATGTATCCTTGGGATTTATTAATGTTATGGTGTCTTCAATAGCTTGTTCCACAAATACATTTATATATGCTATTATTTTCCTCTGTCAATTTTATTTTAATTTTTTTTTTTTACTTTTAATTTCACATTCTTTTCCAAATATATGAGGAAAAGGCTAAGGCTTACACCTGTCTACCTGATCCCATAGCTCTGGTCTCTAATGGGACAGCGCTTAGTGCACTCACCTGCAGAATGGCTGTGGGATTTATCTCGGGGTTCTTGGGAGGTTTCACTGAGGAGGCGTGGAAAGTTAGGACGTCACCTACTGCACAGACCAGCGGTGCCTACGCAGTGGGTGCCGTGAGGTGTGCCAGGCACCGGAGTGCCGCGTGGACGTGCACTGCGGCTCCTCCCCTCCTACCCAGTTCTTGCTTTTCTGCCCACAAACAGGAACAAGGATGGTCTTCCCTGGTTCCTACTACCAGCTCTGGCTACCGTCCTCCCTTTTATTTTCCAGCTTCCCAAGCCAGGAGTCTATTGCTGATTCCATTGTTGTTAACGGTCCTTTTTGCCTCGTCTAGCTCGGATGCAGACTTAACGTTCCGTGCTGTCTTCTCTGGGGAGCTCCACACAAAGCGTCCTTGACGTCCTCTTCGTTACTTGATAGAGCAGACTGTGTGATTCCCCGTCCTGACGTCGCTGCAGCCCGGGCTGGGGACGACCGCCACCCTGCCCCTCCTGTCTCTGCATCTCGAGCCTTCCAGTCCGTCCCCTCCCTCTGAGCTTTAGCTCTTGAGTTGCTTGGTAGATCATTTCGTCCTCCTCCGCTTTGTGTTAGGAAGGTGGAGGAACCTACCCTCCGAGGTTTTGGTCTCCAGCATTCTATTCTTTTCCTTTCATGCTTTCTTCTTAAGATGAAGTATCTACCTTTATGCAAAGGGAGCCGAGTCCATTCCGTAGCTTCTACGTGAGGAGATTGTTAAAATAGCTTAATGCCGCCCAGATGTACA